GCCTTTGAGAATTTTTGCCAGTTTTCTCATTACTCTTTAGGAAGTAGAAAATCACAAGTGCTTTTTCACTGACACACTGCGTCCTGCATTTTCTAGGACATCACACTTTCTCTTAAGCGCATGAATGTAGCATCCAGTTTTAACATAAATTTAAGGTTAGAAACTTTCTGGTGGTACATTTATTTTGAAAGACTGTCTTCTGAGTTAGGTGAAGATACAGTTAATTCTAGGATCCTTCAAATACGACTTACATAAAAACACCATTGCTCCAGAGCTCCCTGATTTCCTACTTTCTACATCAGGTTTTGGTCTTTGTGCTAAATTTTTTAATGTGGAAGAAGAATTCAGCCGCTGGTGGATGTTGGAGACACTCTTCAAGACCAGTGTGGGGCTCCAGGTGCAGGGAGCAGCTGGGCCCTCCCCACAGGCCAGCTGGTGGCCCCCTGCGTGTATGTGATGCCGTGAGTCAGTGGCCTCCCGCTCCTCCTCTCTCTCTCTCGTACTGAAAAGCAGGAGGAAGTGGTAAATAATGGAGCTTTTTAAATAGTACAGTTGGTAAAGCGTGAATATTTTCAGGCAGGTTTTTTGTTTTGTTTTAAAGGCTGAAGAAGCCACTTCCTGGTTCTCGGTTGTAAGAAAAACTTCTCTAATTACTACTTGTCTCTTCTGGGACTAACGTCTTCCACAGATGGTAAAATTTTAGAATGAATATTGGTTACTTTGCTATGGATGTCGCATATACATCTACAGACTGGCAAAATCTGCTTTGATCTAGAAAGATCAGCTCCGTCAGTGTAACACGTGGTAAGAAGCCCTGACTCGGCAGCTGTCTTGTCAGCCTCTGCTTTTTTTTTTTTTTTATTAACATATAATGTATTATTTGCCCCAGGGGTAGAGGTCAGTGAATCATCAGGCTTACACACGTCACAGCACTCGCCATAGCCCATACTCTCCCCAGTGTCCATAACCCAGCCGCCCTCTCCCGACCCCCCGACCCACCAGCAACCCTCAGTTTGTTTCCTGAGATTAAGAGTCTCTTATGGTTTGTCTCCCTTCCCAGTCCCTTCTTGTTTCATTTTTTCCCTCCCTAACCCCCCGACCCCCAGCCCTGCCTCTCCAATTCCTCATATCAGAGAGATCATATGATCATTATCTTTCTGATTTATTTCACTCATCATAATACCCTCTAGTTCCATCCACGTCGTTGCAAATGGCAAGATTTCGTGGTTTTTGATGGCTGCATAGTATTCCATTGTGTGTGTGTGTGTGTGTGTGTGTGTGTGTGTGTGCGTGCACATCTTTATCCATTCATCTGTTGATGGGCATCTAAGTTCTTTTCATAGTTTGGCTATTGTCAGCCTCTGCTTCTGTCCTTATCATGCTGCCTCCATGATGACAGCTGTACCTGAATAGGCTCTAGAAGAAAGTGTCCTCAATAAAATCATTCCTGTTAATATTGGTTGTAAAATAGTACTCAAAAAAGCCAGGGACAAGGGTGCCTGGCTGGCTCAGTTGGTTAAGCTTCTGCCTTCAGCTCAGGTCACGATCCCAGAGTCTTGGGATGGGACCCCACATCCAGGCTCCGTGCTCAGTGGGGAGCCTGCTTCTCTCTCAGCCCCTCCCCCCTCTGTTCTCTCTCTCTCTCTTTCGTGTGCATGGTCTCTCTCTCAAACAAAATCTTTAAAAAAAAAAAAAAAGGAAAGGAAACCAGGGACAGTTCCTGTTTCCAATAATAGCAGCCAATTTTTGTACCACATCCACTGAACATAACTGAACGAAATAGGTACTTCTTACAGAAACATTCGAGATGGTACAGAGCATGCGCTCGGCACAGGTCTCTGGCGCCTTTCCCATGACAGCTCCCCAGTTGTCATCAGCAGGAGCTTTGCCATCATGGGATTTGTCACCCCTCCCTCGGATAACTTGTCTTCGCCCTGGAAAAGCACAGCCTGGCCTGCTCCTTTCCACTTAGTCCCTCTCCTCCTTCCCTACTCTGACGGTCAGATGTCTGGGTTGCCAATCTGTGTCTCTGCTCTTTTGTCCCGGCTCAGGCCCTGATGTGTCCCATCTCTAGACCTTCATGGGCCTCATCCAGAAGATTCAGGCAGTATATTCAGTGTGTCTGTTCCAAGCCCAAATTGACTGAATCTGAATTAACTTGAGCCTTGCTCTGCACTGTTCCGTTCTCTGCTCTCAGTGGCCCCGCATTAAAAGGTATGTTTTTGTCTTTCTCTGTAGGATCTAAGAGAAGCCTGCAGAGATGGGAAGGAGGGATCCTTTTCATTCCCCCCATCTTCAAAAACACTCTTGAACAGAGACTTCCTTAAGGAATAAGAAAGTAAGAATAAGATCTGAACTTTATTATTCTGAACATGGTTAACAAGAGGGAAAAAACTGCATTAGTCCTAACTGAAGCAGGAGGCTAGGAGGGAAGGGGGAGGTGGAAGTACTACTCTCCGATGAAGCACCCGGGGTGTCTCAGCCACAGTAACGGCCTTCCCGGAGCCCAAGGGCGGGCGGCAGGTGGGGCGAGGGGCGGAGACAGTCTAGGGCGCTGCCTGGCAGTAGGCCAGCTGCACCCTCCCCCGAAGGTCTCTTGTCTGTGTCGCTTAGAACCCCTGCTTTTGTGAGAGGATTCCAAAAACTCAATAAGCAAGTGTATAATTTATTGAAGCCATGTCTTCTCAAGGGTCGAACATGAATAATTACAGTTCCAGGATCAAGGACAGATGTCCAAGACTGCCTGCATTTCCAGTCATCGCATGAAAGTTCTAGAATCTGATTATGCCAAGTCCTATCCAAAATGTGAGTAGACTATAAAGCAGCTGGAAATATCTTCTATCATTTTCATCTTATTTGTGATTCTAAAAGGTACTAACCTATATGCCTCCATGATCTACCAAGCCACGTCAAAACTCTGTGGCTTCTAGCAACATTTCTTTTCACTCATGAGTCCCACTTGGCTGGAGTTTGGTCCAAGCTGAGCTTGGTCTGGGTGGTCCCAAAGCTGAGTCATTAAAGTGTACAATTTACAGGAAGGACAGGGTGGAGGGACATTTTGAAAGATACTCTGGGAACACTGTCAACACAGCACAGTTGGCAGAAGTGCTACAGGACGGACAGCTCGGTCTTCAGCAGATAAATGGCCAGAGGGAAAAGCAGGAGGGAGGGAGAAGCTGCAGGTTGAAAGAGACTCCAGACATGCCGGCCAACCAGTGAGCCCAACGTGGACCTCACCTGGGCCCCGATTCTGACAAACTCTAAAACTAATGTCACGGCATTTAAGAGACAAATGGGAATTGGAACCCTGGCTTTTAAAAAATATTAATATGTAATACTAAATTACTTAGTATAAAATTTCATATTACATAAAACACTTTTAGGGTGATTATTATGGTTATGTGTCATATATATATATATATATATACATATATATATATATATATATGCCAAATCTACAGAAGAAAGTATATCTATTATTTCCTTCAAATTAACACAGATTTGGAGAAGTAGGTGGAGGTATAGATAAAATAAGATTTGCCAGGAGTTTAAAATCCATGGCGGGGGTGGGGGGGTAGTTCATGATTTTTTCATCTACTTACTTCAGCAGCATTATTGAACTGTAGTTGCTGCACAATACACTGCACATGTTTTAAGTGTACGATTCATCTACCTTCAATATATGTAAACTTTCCTATAAAAGTTTGAAGACAAAGAGTCTGTATGATTGTAATCAATCTGGCTTTTCTAAAAGGGCAGACCTGTGTCCATTTAGAACATAATGAGATAAGCATATGATCATCATATCCTTCTGTCCCGGAAATGTGAAAGAAATCGACTTATAAGTCTAAGAAGAAATTTAAGGGTCAGGTCCTGTGCTCTAATGATTCACTGAGCTTTATATATTGACATTGGACAACCTTGCTAAACTCTTTGAGTTCCAGTAATGCCACTGTAGTTTATCCACAGTCCCAGGGGTCAGCAAACCAGAGCCCCCACCATGTAATCCAATCCATAGCCAGTTTTTTGCAGGGTCCACAAGCTAAGAGTAGGTCTTGAATTTTTGTAATGGGCTATAAATGGGAATATAATACACATATTGTGTAGAAACAGTATGTGGCCTGAAGATATGGATTAGCTGGCCCTTTACAGAAAAGGTTTGCTGACCCTGGCTTACATTCAATAGTCTTATCATACACAAATAGTGTCCCTTTTCTTGCATTCTAAATGTGCACAATTTATTCCTTTGCTTTCCCACATTGGCTAAAGCTTCAAGTATAATGCTGAGAAATGGTGGTAGCTGAATTATTTATTGTTTTCCCCTATGAGAGAAGAAGCTTTTAACATTTTATAATCATGATGCTTTAGATTTTTTGTAGCCTTCCTTTATCAGAACAAAAAAAAAATTCCATTCTTTCCTACTTTTCTAGAAATTTTAATCATAAATCGGTGGGAGAAAAACAGACAATCCAGAAATCTAACTTGAAATGATCCCAACAATTCATTGGCATGGAAGTAGGGTATTTGTAGAGTGGATTCTCCTAGGAGGTTCCGAAGACAACATCCTTGACAATTTCCATATTTCAGTACCTTTCCTGTATTTTTCACTTTTAGTCCATGTTACTGTTTTCTGTCACTCAGTAGCCTCTCCTTTTGCTACAGCTAAAATCTGTGTGAGTAGATTCTTCAAACTTAAGACTGAAGAACGCTTTCAAGCTTACTTTCAAAAAGCATGTGACCAACGTATAGTACTGACAGATTTGCAGTAGAAAGAACAAGGGCGAAATCCACTTGTTTATGAATTTATTCACGTAAAGTCTGCTAAACAATTGAGACTTTTTGGAAGCCAACACAGCTACTTTTAAGTTTTCATATTACTCTTCGTAGATGTTTAGATTAACCAGATAATCCTAAGCAGGTTATTTTAGAAAGCTGCCATGCTACGAAATGTTTGTTCTTGGCATACACGTCGTTGTTACGCACTACCTTCCCCATCTCAAAAAAGTCCTTTGTTAACAGTATGATTTCTAACACTGCTCAAAAGACACACTGATGTTTCGAAAGGCACTCTGTTTAATTTAATCCCATTTTAATATTCCTTTGAAAATTTTGACTGACGACTCTGGAAACTCAGCCAAGAGTGTTGTGTCAAAAACTTGCTTGAATTTATCTAGGAATTCATAATCGGTGCTGAACCTGAATTTGTTTGCCCAAAGCAGTACTGTCCCTGGCTGACAAAGGTACGCCATGGTGGCGAGCAGCTTGTCCAGGAAGTAGTGGTGGTAGACCACGTCCGAGGCCAGAACATAGTCGTAGTAAAACGTGGACCTGGGGAAGTGCTGCTCCAGGCTCTCTCCCCAGACGAGCTCTCTCACTTCTGGCAGGTGCGCTGCACGCTTTGACGTGTTCTTCAGAAGATTGTATTGCAGGTTTCCTAGGACATCAGGCAAATCCGTTGCTGTGACTTGAGCTCCTAAGAGATAGAAAAATTGCATTTATTACCTGGAAACGTGCAGGCAGCATAGTGGACACGGATGCTCAGGGAGTCACGAGATACGGGACTGGGCTTCTCTGCTTTGTCCAAATTGACGTGTGGGCTGGGCATCCTTGACCCAATCCTGCCGGATAACTTCCCGGGGGAGCTCTGCCCTGTGCGCTGTCCAGTGTTGGACAGTGTCCCAAGTCTCTCCTCCATGACTCCACCCCCAGCTCGTGGTGGTCACAAGTATCTCTAGATGTGGCCAAATGTCCTTTATGGGGCAAAATCACCTTTGGTTGAGAACCACTGAAATCGAATAATGTTAGCATTTTTTAAGAAACAGTTGAGTGGAGTTGGGAGATTTCAGGATAATTAGCTGCTTAATAATTCATCATGTTTTTCTTTGTAAAACTCTTTATCCGAAGGTTGGATCTGTTTTGTAGGACTGCCTGTCTCCAACCTAGATTTGTTCATTGTTAGGCATTTTAAAGCTAGTGACAGGAGTTCACAAAGCAGACCAGCCCATTTCTAGACTGGCTCTGCTAGAAGCTCTGTGATAGTGTAGGCACAAGTATGCCTCATCTGTACCCACCTTTTGCTCACAACCTGCATCTGGTGTATAAATCTGCCTTTACCTTGGATTAACTCACTTATTTTTCTTCAAAATGTTAGTTATAATATTTGCAACGAAAGCCAGGAGACAGCATAACGTAGCTGTTTACAACAGGAGAGTCACAGCTCCGGAATTTCAGCTTCCTCGGTCCCTGCTGGGCCAGGCAGGTCTCCTTGCCGCTCTCTCACGTGTGATTATCTTATTTTGGGGCCAACAGTACTAACTCCTAGCTCATGACACTTTGGGCAATTCCATGAGTGAAATCATGGCCAAGCACCCGAGTCGCAGCAGGCCAGACAGAAAGCTGTCAAAGCCAGCGTGTTCTGAAACAAAGTCAGGAGTAAAGAGACAAACCTAAAATACTGGCCACAGTGGAGACGAGGCCTGGTCCAGCACCAATCTCGAGAATCTTCGCATCTCCGAGATTCAGTTCCTCTGTATGTTCCTCCAAATACTGGCACAAAGCCGTAGCCTAAAACAAAATATTTGCAGTTGTCACCTGAGCATTGGAACACTGGAAAACAGTGGCGACCCGAGCCTCACTTCCCTACTCCAAGCGGAAGACTACAAGAGATGTTAATAGTAGTTGCCGTTTATTGAGGGGCTCGTGAGAAGTTATGCCCTCGGTGCCCTAGGCGGGCCTCGGGCATAGGAAAGGCGTGATCCGCAGCAGAGGAACTGGAGACACAGACTCGCTAACTCGCCTCTAGCCGAAGGCCCTGGGTGCCTTCGGCTCTTCCAAGTCCGGGAAGGAGGCCTGAGAGCAGCAGCCTCTTGCTCTGGTTTGGTCTCACCGGCTTCCAGAACACAGCTGTACATCTTCACCACTTCCGTCCCGACTCCTTCCTCGAAGTTCAAGTGGGTTAACATTTTGTCTGCTACCCTGGACAACTGGGCGGTTTATTCCTTGAGGCGGTCATCGATCGATACGGCCTACCAATACAGGGCTGTGAGGGGTGCGCACACTTTGGGGCAGTGGGGCGCAGCGGGGGTGGGGGTGGTTCCAGAAGGCGTTTCTACAGCCTCCCCCCCCCAGGGCGATGGCCGACCTGCCGGTCCGTGGACCGCATTTCGCGGAGCAGCAAGATGCTAAAAGGGCTGTGCACGAGTTCAGATAACTTTGTAGACAGAAGCGCAGACGTCCCTTTCCTTCTCCCTTCATTCTTCTCCTGGCCTTCCTCCGGAGAGACGGTGGCCATGGATTTGCGCTGACTCATGGGCCGCTCACGTTCGAGCCCGTGGGTCTCACAGCGCTGCGGGGAGGGATCCCGGAGGGTTCGGCAGGACGACGTGAATCCTGAGAGGACAAAGCCGGCCGGACTCTGGTCTGTGCGCACTCCGGCCTCTCGTCTTCTTGTGGCTGCTCTGAACTTGTGGGGACACCGCGTTTTGGGGGGGCTGGGCTGGGGCCGCAGGAACCCCAGCCCCCGGGTGCTGCCTCTCACCCCCGTTTGCTCGAAGTGAAGAGCCTCAGGCTCAGAGATCCCGCAGTCGCGTCTTCTCTCCGGGGGGGCTGAGGCCGGGCTGGGGAAGGGCCTGTAGCCGATGCTCAGACAGGTGAGGGGCGTCAAGGAGGCACACGCTGCAGGCGGGGGAGTGGGCGGCGAGGGGTGTCCTGGGCGCTGAAGGATGAGGGGCTGCACCTGGAGGGTGGGGATGGGGGGACTGGGGCGAAACAGCCACACATTGCCAAGAGCTCAGGCGCTGGGAAAGGAGCTTCTGGAGGAAGAAAAAGGATAGTGATCTGTGATGACAGGGGTTTCCATACGAGGAAGAGTGTCACCTAGAGCCACCAAGAAGATGTGCTTTGAGGGGTTTTCCGAACTTGCATCAGTGTGTGCCTGGTGAGCGACCTGGAGACAAAACTTTTCTCAGGAACCAGGGCCCTGCCAACACCCCCACCTTCCCGGCCCTGGGAGCAGACGTGGGAGAATGATGTCCTTCTCGGACAGCTGCCCTCGGAGTCCCACGAGGAAGGGTGTCTTCCCACTTCGTGTAAACCCTTCCTTCGCAGCTGTCGGGAAATTGAGTTGCCAGGAGAGGCCAGGGTTTGGTGCATGAAAGATAGAGGCCTTAGTGAGAATAAAACCGTCCCGTGGGCAGATATTCTTTCATTCCTGATCTGGCACCCTGCTGTGGTCGTCGATTCGCCAAATCTATTACAGCAGGAAGCTGGGAGCAGTTTGGTGGTTTTCAAACTTATTACCACGCCAAAGAGGATTTCCCTGCGAAGGAAATCATACTTACCGGCAAAGGGGGAAATGCTGGGCAGGGCGGATTGCAGCTCTAGGAGCTGGAGCCCTTTGTCTGCCCCTCCCCCTCATCCACCCTCCTTGTCCCCCATCACCTGCCACTGGTACCCAGGCCGCCTGCTCCCCAGAGCTCCGTGGCACGTCTGCCCCCCACCACCACCCCGGGAGTGGCAGCACCTCCGAGTTCCCCGTCTGTATTTGAACCCCAACCCCCTGCCATCCCCCACCAGCGACAGAGCAGCTTGGATCCGAAGCTTCTCAAAGAACAACCCAGCGGGCATCGGAGGACTGCTGTCCCAAACCCGGTGGCACAGCTCTCCCAAATGAGTCAACTTTTCTGAGCCCCTACCTCCCCGTGGGCAGGTGCAGTGTGAGTAATCCCAGGTGGTGGGCATGACGCGCAGCGTCCACGAGTGCTCACACCCCCCACCGTCCCCGTAGGGAAACAAAGGTCAGGGAGGCCAGCAGGCAGCCAAAACTAGCAGATTGACTCCCGATACAGAGCGTCTCCCCATTTCCATGCCCCCCCTCGCAGGGCTGCTGCAGAGAGGAGAGGGGGGCGACTTCCTACCTGCTTCCCTGGGGACACCCCAGGGGGAGGGAAGCCAGCACATGGCTCTGATTGTTTTTTTTTTTTCCTCAAAATTCATATGAATTTTTCATCTTCCTGATATAGTCAAGCTGATCTTAATGTAAAAGAAATAATGTTTCAGGGAACATGGCCCAGAAGGGATGATGGCTTCTGGGAGAGATGCTGGGGTTTTGCGAAGCCAAGTGAACCCCCAACCCCCGGGCCAACAAGTTACCCTCCCATGCAGAAGCCCAAAGTGAGAGCACTCAGCAGCCTGTCCATGGCAGCCCCGCCTTGTGGAACTGTCGCCCCAGGAGCCCCAACATCCCAAAGGTAATGGCTGTCTCACCCCTGGCCACACCACGGCTCCGTAGCTCTCTATGGATTCTTGGATGACGATCTCTGTGCCAGCGAACACGTAGTGCTCCTGCGTGTAGCTGGCGTAATCGGTGGGAACAAACTTCTGGAGGCTACGAAGAGATGGTTCTATCTTGTTAGAATCTGGGGGGGCGGGGGGCGGGGGGGAGAAAGTAAAACAGTTTCTGTGATTTGTTGATCCAGATCAAGCACACACTGGGCACAACTGGTAAGATGGGGAGGGAACGGGTTTTCCCACAGAGACGGGGTGACGCCAGCAGTGACCGTGGCTGCAAACTAGCACAAAACGGAGTGACACGGGACGACAGGGACATGAAGTCCAGCTGTGATGTTTCCTCGAGATGGTGAGACACCAGGGGATGCTCTGGGTCCGACGGGCTGCGTGGCAGAGGCCAGAGAGGTGCGGCTCCATCCCCAGCCCTCTGTTCCGCCGCCAGAGAAAACCAGCTTGCCAGCAGAAGGGCAAGAATGAGCCGTCTGGCGGAGGCCCCGGACAAACACAGACATGACTGTTTTTAGGTCTTGAAGCGAAGTAACATTCCCACACGCTGGCTGGAGAGTGTTCCTTAAACCCTTCCTACAACTGCTCCTCAAAAGGCTCAGGTCACCCAAAGACCAGCCAGCTCCACGGTCCCGGGGGAGGCGGTCAGATAAGCCCGGCCTATTAAGTTACAATTGCTTTAAATACCCGTTAAACTCACGAGCAGCTCTCAAATAGCACATAAAATGGGTGGAAAAGAGCACCTGATGGCGGTTGACCTCACGGAAGCACAGACTGTGCCGCTTTTGCGGAGTCTTTCAGGATAAGACGAGCCACGCGTGAAAATGTCAGGGGTGAGCGCGCGGGCACAAGCACACCAGGGCCGTCCACAGAAGAGAAGCCGCGGATCATGCGGTGGGAAGGAATGGGCAGGGAGGAGCTGGAGGGAAACCCGCAGGAAACCTGCCTTTGCTCCCTGAGACCCGCCGGGGACCTCTTTAGCCGCAGGTGGAGGGCGGCTCCGGCACACAGCCACAAGGAGTGGCCGGTTCACCTTGTTGCTCCTCTAATCAGAAATGTCCCCTGGAGGCGTTAGAGGAGGAGGTGGGCCGGGGCACAAATCTGGGGTGGGGGTGGAGGGTGTTTGCAGAAGCCTAATCGGGGGCAGGCGGTTTCGGGGGTTGCTGATTAGCAACCGCGCGAGAGCCATCCTGTGCTGAGGGTCTGCACACCCGCACGGGTTCGCAGAAGAGCAGACATCGGAGTCCACTCCTAGAAACGGTTCCAGCAATCTGACCACGCCCAGTTACCGAAGCACAGACCTTGTGTTTCGTCTTCGTGTGCATTTTCATTGGGTTTTTCTAGAAGTGAATTTTTGTTGTATTTTACCCAAAAAGTGTCCTTGTGTAGCAAAGTGAGAAACAGTCTTTGAGCACAGCGACAGGGTTCTCAAGAAGTGTGACAGATGTCCACAGCTCTCCAGGGGCAGCTGCCGCCTCCCCCACCCCCCCACTGGTGTAATGTAGTATGAGATCTACCCGCGGGGGAGAATTCTGGGCCCCGACCTAAAAGGTGAGCACTGACCGTGCAGGAACCTGCTCATAAACAGTGAGCAAGTCAGACGGGAGACATTGTGCTGGTAGGGGCTGTGGGGAGGCTGGAGGGGCGGGAGGGAGACCTCTGGCCCTCACCCACCTCTTATTAGGGGAAGCTCCTAACATCTAGTACCACCAACTCATTCTCTGTGAATGACCAAAGAGGCCCTAGCCTGTCCCCTCGAGCTGAGAGGCTGACAGACCCGTTGGAGAGACGGTCAGAAGGCCGAGGAATAGACAGCGGCCGGGAAATGTTCAACCACCAGCTCGGGGTGAGGGGAAGAAGCACTGATTTGTAGGTTTGATGATCACCACGGTGGGAGTGCTCCCATTCCAATTGCCCACGGACGTTCCCGGGAAACGACAGAGGCTGCCCACCGAGACGGGTGCTTCCCCCCCGCTCTCCGCCGGGCAGGGCAGCAGGCGCCAGGAAGCAGAAGAGCTTACGCTCCATGAAGACAACCTCAAAACGTAGTCAAGTAAGTCATGATGAGTTGTGAGTATTCATCGCCTTGGTTTTTAAACATGCCTTTGCATTTTATACCATCTATTTAGCGGTAAGTTTCCATAACTTACATTTCAATAATGGCCGTGTTTAACAACGACCCTCAAAAAAAAGTCCCTGAAATTCAGGGGCTGGTGCAGGCTGGTCGGGGCAAGGAATTGGGACAGGGCTGCTCCCTTTTCCTCTGAGGTTTCATCACTGGGGTAGGTGACTGGCAGCAGCCAGACTAGCTGGGACCCGTGCCAGCCCCTCCAGACTTCCCTCCCCCACCGTGGCTCTGGCGGGTCCTTCTTCCCTTCCACAGCACACCAGCTGGGGACCTGTTTTTCTCTCAAGATGGTAGAAAAAGTCAATGGGCTGATCTGGAATGGCTCATCATTTTACAGGCAAAGGAGCTGATCTATTTTCCCAACCCACATTATAAAGAAACGTGGGCACATAAATATTCTCCCAAAGGCCCTTCATGTTTGATAAAGATAAAGAAATTTATGCTTATTACACACAATGTTTTCATTTATCGATGTTAGTCTGAGAGTTTTAGAGAGATCAGATTTTAGAGATAGAATTGCCTTTTATGTAAACTAGTTTAGTAAAAATAGATAGCATCCTGTCTTAGTGAGTTGGAATATAATTTTACCGTGTTAAATGATGATAAATGTTTGAAATGCCATACATTGGCTTTTCTGACATTATTTGTTAGGTTTATTATTTATTACTACCGCGCCCCTGTCCAGAAATGCAACCCACATACAGCACAGCTGCCAGCAGAACATGTCAGTGAAAAACGACATGAATCAAGATTTTGTTTCTTTTTAAAAGTTCTTGTGACAAAAATATAACCATTTGAGATTTATACACAGGACAAGACAAATTTAGATAAGCAAATAATGAAAAAATAGGAATTACTTTTAATGCTCTGCTCACGCTTGCCTTAAAAGGCACTTTTCCACTAAGCTTCACTAATAGGAACAATCTAGAATTAAAAGGAGATGGGAAATCTTGTCACTGAAGTTAACTGGTAAATGCCATGGCCAGGAAAGCAAGTGACAAGGTGTCATGGTGAGGACGGAGGTTACCTCCTGGGGGTCTGCTGGTACCATCCTCCTGGAGAGCCCCCTCTGCCGCCGGCTCTAAGCCCCCATCTGGGGTGCACGGTGCTTCCCGCAGGCGTCTGGGCTGCTGCTGCCCGGGGTGCAGACACACGTCCATAACCGCAGCCGCTGGAGAGCAGAGAACCGGACAGGCTGGCTGAGCCTCCCAGAGGCTCTAAAAGGTGCAGCTTATCGCCTTAGCATCTGCTGAGCTGAAAAGAATCCCTGCTTTTCAGCTTAGTTCCCCCTCCCCCGCCCGGTTAGCAAAGCAGCTACCCAAGGAGCTGCCATCCTAGTTTTGCAGGCAAAGGAGAGGGGGACCATTAAACAACATCGCACCTGTTCTGGGCATCAAGAAATGCAAAAACAGAGCAAGCATTGCTAGGGGACGGGCACAATGTGGCTGGGGTCTAAAATGTCTAATAGCTTTTGGAAATGAATCTTAATGAAGAGACTCTGATCCAGGAACACATCCTACCATCGGAGGGACACCATGTGGATGGAGGGATTAATGATCTCGTGGATGAGAAGGCAGGATTTGGACCAAACACAGGGCTGCTCCCTTCTCATCTGAGGCTTTGTTGCAAGATCATAGAAAGTGCTGGGGGCTGAGCCAGGAGCCTGACCTGGCTCCCTACTGGGGCTATTGGCAACTCGCTTAATTCCCTTGCGCCATTTCCTCATCAGCAAAAAGGGACAATATAGTATCTGTCCACTCTCCAGGGCCACAGTGGGAAGCAGGAGAGTGAAAGTGAGGAAAACCACCTGATTTAGAAAAGGAGACCTGGCTGTGGGGATCACTGATCGGTACCAAAATAGTAACACATGACATCACCGCAGGGCGGGTACCGTTGCCAAACCCTGTTCTGCCGTAAGTGCATCGACTCATCTAGTCCCAGCAGTTGCTCCTATGAAATGGAGCCTATTAGAATGCCTCTTCTCAGATGCGAGCAACCCAGGCACAGAGACTTGAAAAGCAGCCCAAGACACCGGTGGGGCCAAACCCAGAAGGTCCAGCTGCAGAACCTACATTCTCACCCGGCCGGCAGGTGCACCCTGGGTGGGCTTGGGCAGCCGTGGGTTCCCTTGCCTACTTTCCTCTGAAATGACTCAAAACGCTTAGCCACCGCAGTGGTGTTTCCTAGTTTTCTGTTTGTTTACAAAATGTGAATGATTTTCCACCCCTGTGTTTACCATCCTCAGTCTCCACACCCCAGAGTTGCCCCATCCCCATCTCTCCAGCCAAGCGGGGAGAGCAACCAGACACACCGGCCATTCCGTCACTGGCCAGCTGACCCAAAGCCATTCGGGCACTGGCTTACTCCAGTGGCGAACAGACAAAGTGCAAGAGGGCACAGCCCCCGAAGCAAATGTCACTCCACTGCACACCTGGACAGGTCGCGTGTCCCTCACGTTAATTCTCAACAGGACGGCAAACAACTGAGATCGCTGCGAAAGCAATTTAACCTTTTCAGGGCTCTAGAACTGAATGATCAAATACTTGCCCCCCTGCTCCAACTCACCACACCAGCCGGAGTGCCCCGTGCGGGTCTGTGCTTCCCGCGCAAGTTCTCTCTCTGGCAGCTCCTTACCCATTCCTTCCTTTCAAGCATCCTCCAGCTCCAGGAAGTTAACTGCTCCCCGGAAAGATGGCAGCCTGGTTGTTGATGAGTAAACAGTGACTTCAGGAAGGAAGCCTCCACGCCGTGGGGAGGACCCTGCCTCCGAATCTTAGCTCGGACATGTGCATTCCTCGTCGAGGATGTAGATCGTGGGGATACCTACCTCCTGCGGCGGTTGCGGGAGCGAGGGGAGGTAAGCCATGCAAAGCATCTCAAGTTCAGCAGCGACCGTTCTGTCCGAAGCCAGGAGGGCAGTCATGCAAGCCACACGCCTCCCGCACCAGGGGACTCTGGGCATTACATTTTAGACATTTCCTCATTTTGCCTGCAAGCGAAGGAGAATTATTTTCCAATACCAGGTGCGCTTTTCCTTATGAAAGCAAACGACTCCCTCCCCCATCATCATAGCTGACGCGCGAAAGTAACTTTTCCCCTGACACGTGTGCCTTGAAAGGCAATCTAGAAAACAGTGACCGTGCCCTCTGCCTGGTGCCGTTAGTCTGATGTAGCATGTGCCATATGGCACGTGTTAGTATTTGATAAAGCTTCAGGAAGTTTTTCAAAGGTTAGTCCCCTCGAAATCCTTCCAAACTGTTAGTTTACACATTACCTTACGTAGCAGAAGAGAGGGTGAGATTTCTGTGCACCCTTGAATCCCCAATGTTTTATATAGATCCGCACCTGAAAGGATTAACATTTTATGAACAAAAGCCAGCCAGTGCAAGCCCAAGTTATTTAGGGTAGCATGACCCACCAGGACTCAGGCATGTTACTTCGCTAGAATATCTGTTCTCTCTCCCTCTCTCAATTCTCAATGTTTTCTCTCTCTCTCTCTCTTTCCTACATACTCACACGCAATCCTTGCAATGTGGAATGGAATCACCCTCAAAAGATCCAGAAAAGGCCTCCAGCAGAGCAGAGGCTCTCCTCTACGGTGTCCAGTTGCCGTGATGGAGTTGAAAATGTAGACACATTTCACTTTAAAAAGAAGTGGGGGTGCGGCTGGTTGGGGTTTCGTACAGACGCGCAGACTTCCTCTGTGCTCATCAGCCGGACTGCTGTGGCCAAAGGGAGCAGCCGTGCCTGCCGTGGACGGTCCTGGACCCTGCCCCGAGCAGCCGGAAGGAACACAGGACTCTACCTGGTAAGACAGGAGAACACCTAACTAGAAGGCACGTGAGGTAAAGGCTTCAGCTTGCATGAGGAGTGTTTAGCTGGCGCAACAATGAATAGGAAACCCGAAAAACTCTTCCAAGAAAAAAGGAAGCCATTGCAATTTCTTTCATTGAGGAAAAGGGCAGTTTAAAAAGGAGGAAAATCATGTGCTCATTTGGGAAGCCTGGAAACCCTTAAAATAGGATATAGGGCATGTTAATTAAAACCTTAGCAGATGGGAATTAAACAATCACTCGTGTTTGTGGGGGACTGAGCAAATAGTGACTGAGCTTGAGTGGATATAAGAGCCTATTTTTATGTTTTTACTCCAGCCTTGTACTCTCTTCACTGCTGTCATTTTTTTTTCTTTATGTGCCTTTCTTTGAAGTTAGGATCTTCATCTGAATGTGCTGTGATCCCATCTCCATTAGGTTTGCTCTCCCATTCCCTTAAATGAGGGGAGGTGACACGGAGTCTCGCTCAAATCTGTCATAAGGATGCTGTCGTCCTCCCCAAGTGGCCCAGCCCTCTGATGTGTCACTTGGGTAACTGGTTTCCACCAGGGGTCAGCACCGCTATGTAAACACCCCTAGATATAAGAAGTAGCAAAAAGGTGGTCATCATTACAACTGTATAAATAACTTCTGAAAACTGATTGGAATGTACATGAATGTGTCCCTAAATACTGGCTACGTCAGAATTACCTGGAAGCTTTAGAACACATAGACTCTGGGCTTCTGGAAATTCTGGCTCAAAGGTTGGGAGAGAGCCTAGAGGTTTGAGCTCCAAGTCCAACAGCCGTCCCCCATGTGTTTTCAGCGCCTGGCACATGGCTGGTGCCAATCTATAGGGCAGGGAACACATGACCGACTCACATAGTTGAAATGTCAGCCCCTGACGAGGGATTAGGCTTCGGGCATGGCTCTGGAGGACACATGGATGAAGTAAGTGCCTGGGAAGGACATTTGTTCTCAACAGGAAAGAACTTTTTAACAAGCAGAACAATGGAACAATTGATCTCAGGGAGCCAGCATAACGGAAAATGGGCCAGCCCTGGAGTTAGAAGACACCAGATTGGACCAAAGGTTTATACAGGGTCAATAAACAGGCCAGGGGCAGTCTGTCTGCCTTTCTTCAAAGGTGTAGACCTCTGATCTCTCACAGCACTTTTCCAGCTGCACCTAACTCAGCCAGTGGTCCTCACCATGGAGGAAGCCATCCCTCCTCCCAGGGACCCTGGGCAGTTTGGAGGTCTTGTTGCTTGTCATAGCGAGGGCAGAGAGCAATTGCTATTTAGTGCATAGAGGCCGGGGTGGGGGTTGGGGGGGCTACCAAACACTCTGCGTTACCCAAGACAACCTTCACAGCAAAGAGCAATCCTGCCCAAAATGTCACCCAGGCTGAGCTGAGAAACCCTCGTATTGTGCAGGATAGGAGTTGCAGGGTGACTTCTCAGGACACCTTTTTTTTTTTTTTTTGTAAGTAAACTACCCGCAGTGTGGGGCTCAACTCATGACCTTGAGATCAAGAGTCACATGCTCTACCGCCTGAGCCTGCCAGGGGCCACAGGGTCAACTCTCATTTCCATCCTACACACACCGTCTACAAGCTGGGTGATCACTGCCTCCTTGGCCTCAGTGTCCTCGCCTGTAAAATGCAGTGGATTAGTGTTTCCAGACTGTCCTATAGATAGAGCCAACATGACACCCTCTGGCTCCATCAGGTTCCTCCTGGGAGCAGACCCAGAGTCAAGGATTTGAGAAAGGATTTGGGGGATGCAGGGAGGGGGAGGAGGAGAAGAATCATCCAGGGAAAGGTGGGCAGCCGGCAAGAGGTGTTCTGCCCAGCCAGCTGCTGCCGGCCAAGGCAACTTGCACCTGTGGGGCAAGGCTGGGGGATGCGGCAAAATACACAGCTCAGAATGATCCCATCCCAGGTTCAAAGGGCTCCCGGAGGATTCCAGCACTACAGCATGGAGGCAACACGCAGCAGCTGGAGGATGGAGATGCGTCCAAGAGAGGTGAGATGCCCAGCAGCTTCAAGATCCAGGGGAGAACGTTCTGAGTGGTCTAACTTGATCATGAGCTTGCCCTCTAGGTAGGGCTGGAGCACGTGAGAAATATCCCACCAAAACATGAGGAGTAGGGCTGGGAACTGAAGGCGTGCTGGCGCTACAACAAGCAAGCGTACTGGATGGCTTTCTTCCCCATCCTGGCCACCCTGTGTGTACATTCTTATTTCCATCAAC